GTGTGTGCTCACTTGGAAAGGAAATAGGGTGAAAACTAAGAAAAGGAAGAAGAGAATGAACATTTATCAAGTGGTCATATGTGTCAGGAGAGCCAGGTACTTTATTACTGTGAATTATTCTTACAGCTCTCCTATTTCCATTTATAGAGAGGAAGTTGAAGATCAGACATTAATTTCTTTGCCCCAAATTGACACAGCTAGTAAATAGCTGGGCCAGGATTTGCAATATGATCTAGTTTGGAGTTAATACTCTGGACTTCCTTATGCTGCCAGGAAGGGGTAGGGTCTCTGTGGAAGGTAGCTGCCATCATAAACCACAGCTTCTTTATACATAAGTAACGCTGATGTTGGCTGCAGGATTCTTTAAAGTCCAGAGTGTCAGCAATATCTTGGCTAACTATGACTTCCCAACCAGGGAAGAAAAATCAGCCATTAATAATTTACCCCTTCTTCATAGTTCAATTCCAATGGATTTGTTTTTTGTTTGGCTAAGATATGTTTTAAGAGTTAGAGTGATTTCTAAATTAATGTGTTGATTGATTCTGTCTCCTAATGTAAAATGTAAGACTTAGGAAATTCAAATGCTCTTGTGAAAGATAAAAAGGGTTTTAAGTTCAAGGTTACTAGTCTATGATCAAAACATAACCTATTAGACAAAGACAAACACTCATTCAGCCTGTTTGAAGTATGTGAGTAAATAATTCATGGATGTTTTCACAGTTTTTCTCGGGAATACATTGGTAGTTTAGACTTCAGTTGTGGTGCACACTAAACCATGGTTAAATATCTAGTTTAAAGAGCAAATAAACTTTTTAAACTAGTGGATATAATCATTATTTTTTAATGAAAACAATTTCTTCTTACCCTTATCTTAGCATAATAATGTCACCCAATAATTAGGAGTCTCCAAGAGACTAAACCTCATGGATAATATAATGTGTTTCTTTGTTGGTAAAAGGAAAGGTCGATTTGCTATCACTGCTTTGTGCCTTAAGCAGAGGGGAATTAATTATGAAACTAATAAAACTTAAGCTTCAAAGCTCTTCAATTGCACAGCCCTCTTCCAGGGTCCTGAAGGAACTATGTCAAGGTGCTCACATCATATACTTGTAAAACTCACAAAGTTAAGATGTTTTAGCCACAGTCTATTAAATCCCCTCTTCCCATTTCAGTTAATCAACCATCATGCTTTCCCTTGGGTCAGGTAACACTGGAGTGGCTGCCAGCATTTTTGGTACCCAGGTAAGGAGAACTTGTATTGGTGATACATTTAGTTTAGGATTAATGGAATATATGCATGTGGTTTAAGGAAAGGCTGAATTAGCTTTTCATCCTTCCTGTAGAAAATGGTATTATAAAATAGTCATCAAAAAGTCATCAAAGAGTACTCCATCAATTAAGGTAGGACAGAGGGTGCATTAGGCATTTTGGAGGTAATAGTACCATTATATTTCTGGATTTGCGATGCTTGAGGGCATTTGTCAGTTGTCATAAATTTGGAATTTGTTGTAAATTCTTTTTCATCCTAGAATAATCATTGAATTCTTATTCATAATTTTGTATTCTTTCTTCTAAATACAACTCCCAGATGGTATAAGCTTTAGGTCCCTCAAAAATTACCCTAGACAACAATCTAAAACATTTTTGGAGGTTAAAACCATAAGGCTGTGTGATAGATTTACATGCTTTCTTTAGAATAGGTGAGCACGTCAATACCTTCCTCCCAACCAGGAATTATTTACGAGCTCTTTATTCAAAGGAGAGAATAAATGGGAATAAGAAGTCTAGTCTCCTATCTTCTTGATAATTCCTCCTCTTATTCCAACATTACCATGAGCAGCAAACAGAAATACAATTGCACCATTTAGTAGGTACTGTTCAGTACGAAGAAACTTGAAGTAAACTTGCAAAACAGTAAACAATAAAACACCTTTAAAACAAAGAGGGTGTTATTTTTTCTTTGCCTCCCCAATCTCTGCTTTTGAAATGTTTTACAACATTTTTGAGAAAAGTTTCCTCTGTATACACCTACTATCAAGGGAAAGGGCTCTAAAACCCTCATCAAATAATTAAACGTTTTATACAATGTAGGTGGATTTTAAGTGTGCTCCGAGCACAAAGCAAAACCTGTAGAGGTGTTTGTCCCAGTGCACAAATCACCTGCAGTCCCCAAGAACTCCTATGTCCATATCTCTCATAAACATGTGAGTCCATGAAAAAGGAAAGTCTCTAACACTTAGTGGACTTTAATTGTGAAAACGTGAACCCATAAATGTTGGGTCAATATGGACAATAAGCAGATAATATCCAGACAGATACACAAATGAGAGTCTTCACAGATGAGTGAGGAAAGGTCAAGACTACACTGGGTTAAATTTCTTCCTAGAAAGCAAAATCGACAACTGAGGTCAACCTGCTTTATTGCCATACCTAATGAGTGAGTTCTACTGCTTAAATTTCATCTTTGGAAGAAAAATAGACATGTACCTATAAAAGCCTTAGCAATACAGGCAGGATGCAGTTTCATATTTCTAGACACGGTTGTTGATAGCAATTAAGATTGGAGAAGGAGAAAAAAATCAGTTATATATGGTAATACAAGTCATAAGGGTGCTTTTTCTTGCTCTCCTGTAACACTGACGCTACTGCTAATGATAGTAATGGCAGCTAACCTTTAGTAAGTGCTGTCTATGTGTCAGGCACTGTTGTAGCTACTGTTATTATCATTCCCACTTCTCAGATGATGAAATTAAGGTGCAGAATTACTGAGACAGTAATCAAAGACACAAAGCCATAGCACTGGCAGAGCCGGGATTCAAACCCAGGCAATGTGGATGAATAGCCCAAGCTCCTCACTATTGTGTCATATGTATAATGAGCTGACCTCCAGGTCTCTCCTGAAGAATTCTAATTTCAAATATTCTATCCTGAATCCTCTTGTTTCTCTGATACATGGCTCAACTTCACTTTCTGAAAACAGTTCCCACAAATTCAATATAATCAGCTCCAACAAGATGCTTCTGTTAATCTATAAAAGAAAAACCAAATTGATTACGAAAATGTATGGAGAAAGAAAAGCCTTTCCTTTCCTTTCCTGCAAATTGGTGTAAAAAGTGTGCTCCCTTACTCTGATCACCAAATAAGCGTCAAATTGGTGCACTGAAAGTTTCTCAGCTTTGTGTTTTTTGGTTTTTTCCCCAGAACAGGACTATAATAACTTAGAGTTAGATGATCATAGAAGACGTCCGTCAAATGCAATTGGAAGCACCATCTCATAACAATACCTGGGAATCAGTGTTAATGCAAGAGAAATACCAGAGTCCTCTGCAAGGAATGACAGAAATAGAATAGCAGCTTGATATCCTTGAAATGACAGACGCTGAAGGCTGAATGTATAAACAACATTCTCAAACTCCTACTCCTTTCTGCATTTTTCTACAGATTGGAATTTAAGCATTTATTTGTAATATGTAATAATAATACATTGTAACTCATTTATTTTATAGTTTGGATTACAATCCAATATTACTTTATTTATTCCATTACATTGTTTCCATTTTATCTATTGGGAGCTGTTTCAGTTGTTATTTTGTCCCTGTGACATATCTGCATAATCATGTTTTTGTTTTTAAATAGCGCAGCTCTGCCTTCTGGCACTACAAAATGCTGTAGGTTCATCTTGTATATTTCCTGCCTCAGTCCTACAATCAGACATTTTTCCAAACAGCCCAGATTCTTTGTTGGAAAATAGTATTAGAAACCAAAATCTGGGTGCTCAGTGTAGGGCTGACTTTTAAAAAAAATATTCCATAGAGTTTTTCATTAAGTTTCTTAAAATTAAATGTGCTATTTCAGCTTTGCACAGCTCATATCCTTCCCCCATAACTTCCTTCCTTCCTTCTCCCTTAACATCCATCCCTGTTTCACAGTACTCCTAAAGGATCACTGCATCCGTTCTCCACCTTAGCTAACCGGCAAAATGTAGATGCCCTATAGTACAGGCTTTCCAGTTACAAAGCTAGCAAGATTAAAACAATCACAACATTAAAAAACAAAACAAAAACAAAATTTCATCCCACCCATGTGAATTTTATCACCATTTCCACACTAATGCTCAGTGAGTGTACACTTTTGATTGAATATGATTTCTGGAGAAGGGTTATCTTTTGCTGCTATATATCATAGTATCAGTTATATATA